TACTCGATGTGTATCCTTAATGCGCGTTCTCGATGTGTATCCTAAATGCGCATTCTCGATGTGCGTCACTAATGCGTGTTCTCGGTGTGTCTTTAATGCCCGTTCTCTATGTGCAGTGTCCTTAATGCGCGTTCTCGATGTTCGTCCCTAATGCACGTTCTTGATGTGCGTCCCTAATGCGCGTTCTCGGTGTGCTTCCTTAATGTGTGTTCTAGATTTTTGTTCTGAATGAGGTCCTCTATATGAGTGCACAAAAATGGCAAATGTCAAAAATGTCAAGAACAACTTTCCATAGTAAAACAAAAAATTACTATGGCATCAGCTTGAATTTCGCTTGAATCTTGTTTTCTTTCATTTTGAATAAATAAAAAGAATTTTAAGTTTTGTAAGATTGTGTGCATTTTTCCATTTCCGAGGTTAAAAGTTTATAAAACTTGGGATATATAAAAAGAGAAATATTTCTTTGAAAAGAACATGTAAAGATACAACACAAAAATTTGAATTTTAGTATCTAATACTACGAATCCTATACAAGCTAAAAATACATTGTTTTGGTTAAAAATAGTTTTAATAGATTATAGAGCTTAGACCGATGTCTAAAGTATAATCAGCAGACAGGGTTTTACATATGTAGATTCTACGTCAAAAAATGCACTTTCTTTTGATTAAATGCAATCCGTAGACCAAAAGGGCGAAATAAAAAATAATTAAACTAGAAAAATACATCGATTTATAAGATATCATTAAAAAAACTGATGACTAGTGAGTTGAATTTTCTTTTTTAATCATGTAACATTCTTTTAGCGACATTTATATAACTAAAATAATAGAAAGAAGACGACATTAACAATCAAATCATAATTTTATATGTAACCATTCTGTTTGTACTTTCAATTTCAATTCTACATTTTCATTAAATGCAAGTCCTAAAACAGTAAAATTTTTAACCTTAACCCTATTCCCGCTGGGGGGGGTCAATTTGACCCCCCCCCCCTGTAGTTTTTTTTACATAACTCAAAAAGTATTGGTCTGAGGCTGTTGAAATTTTCTGACTTTTCTTACATACCCAAAGCCCTCCCTTTAGGCCTAAAACCGGGCTTTAATACTAACTGCCTGAGTCCTCAGGCACACTGCCTGAATGACTGCTTTTGCCTGTAGCAAACTAAATCTTTGTTTTGACCCACTTTCACTTGTCAGATTTTGATAAAATTTAGCTTTTTGGAAAGCCTATGACATAAGGAAACGGATTGCACAAGTTTTACGAAAAAAATTGCAAATTTTTTGCAAACAACCTGTCAAAGGAAATTTGCACATTTTTAGTTTTTCTTGATTAAAAATCAGGTTATTTAAAATTTTGCAAAATTTTTTGCATATTTGAAATGACATGGTCAAGGGCTTTTCAAAAATGTATAATTTGTCATTTTTGGACAAATTTTTTTTTGCAAACATTTTTACTATAAAACTGGATTTTGCGATAAAAAATTCAATTTTCGCAAATTTGCAAATTTTTTTGCAGATTCTAAAAGTAGAGCACAAGAGCTTTCTAATGATGTATCATTTGTCATATTTGGACATAAAACATGGGATTTAGAGGGGGGGGTCAAATTGACCCCCCCCCCCAGCGTATCCTGGTTTTCAAGTACCCCAGCGGGGATAGGGTTAAAAGATTTTTCTAGTTTTAAGTGCTAATTTCTAGTGTCGACTCTGTAACTTTTATATCCAGATATATTTCAATTACAATAAATTGGCTTGAATTATTTGTTTGCATTTAAGAATTTGCATTAAAAATATTTCAATTTTGTGCATATGCTAAATTTTAACGAAACTAATACGACATTTAGAATATTCTTGTGTACAAACGATGAGACTTCAGAAACGATTGTATGGATTAATTTCAGACTTTTTTCCTGGTTCTCTACAACTGTATTAACATTACTCTATATTATATCTTTTTCCTGGTTCTCTACAACTGTACTAACATGTTTCTATATTATATCTTTTTCCTAGTTCTCTACAACTGTACTAACATGTTTCTATATTATATCTTTTTCCTGGTTCTTTACAATTGTACTAACATGCTTCTATATTTACCATATCTTTTTCCTGGTTCTCTACAACTGTACTAACATGTTTCTATATTTACCATATATTTTTCCTGGTTCTCTACAACTGTACTAACATGTTTCTATATTATATCTTTTTCCTGGTTCTCTACAACTGTACTAACATGTTTCTATATTATATCTTTTTCCTGGTTCTCTACAACTGTACTAACATGTTTCTATATTATATCTTTTCCTGGTTCTCTACAACTGTACTAACATGTTTCTATATTATATCTTTTTCCTGGTTCTCTACAACTGTACTAACATGCTTCTATATTTACCATATCTTTCAATTAAACTAAAAAGACTATAATTCTAATTAAATACATAAGAACAAATTTTACCTGGAGTTTTCAGTTGTTAAAAAGTGAAACCAAAGGAGTAATTTGAAATTTAGCAAAAAATCTTGATTGAATGAAAGTTTTTTTGTACTTCTTTAATTATGAAAGTAATGGTATATGATAAATATATATTGAGGTTACCCACAAAGAATGAGACTGTAAAGACGACCGGAAACTGTTAAAATGAGACGATACAAGATTAAATTATGTATTTTGCCTTTAATATAGCTATCTAATGGCTTAAAGAAAAAAAACAAGTTTACAGTTGCAGGGAATCGTGAATATTAGGAAACAATCAGTATAAATTCCGTACAATCGTCTCTGAAGTCTCATCCTTTGTGGGTAACCCTGTATGTGCATACGTATAATATAATTTTATAATACTTTTACAACTTTTTTTATAAGTGTTAATTTCCTCAGATCCACATAATTTAGACATGTTTGGAAGTCTATTAACAGACGGAAAATCTGTGCTTTTTTAAGACGGTTATACTGATATGAAAAACTAAAACAATTATATTATTTCTTTTTAATCGTGTGTTTAAAGGAATTGTAGTTGAAGTGTTAAGTGACACGGATTTACAATTAATGGTTCCCCTTTATCTGGTCAATACTGTGGAAGATTTAGCTTGAGAAGTGTTCAATTCTATCAAAAAACATTTGAAAATAATAAGTTAATTCTACATATATCTAAAATTTTTTACAGACAAAGCGTTTATGAAAAACGAGGATCACTTGAAATTACGTGAACAGGCCTTTTTTAACACCTTTTTAACACCTTTTTTAACACATTTTTTAACACCTTTACACTTGTTTGTTTTGAAAGCTTTTAAGGGTTTTTGATCTATATCTTTTCATTCTGATGGTGCAAACATTTGAAATTTCAAACTTAGATTATTTGATCTAGCAAGCAGATTTCATATTTTGAAACATTGCAGGTTTAGACTATCAGGTTGCAAAGATATAGGGATTAGAAAATCAAAGACTGAATTCCTTTCTTAGATTTTGCCCATCAGACAAAACACTGGGATAAATACTTAACTTTAATATTTTCTCTTTAGCTCAAAAACTTGGAGAACCCTAGCGTCTCCTTCATCAATTCAATCTTGAGAAACTTAGGAGCAGAAATTTAAGTTTTTGCATAATTTTAATTAACTTTTTCAATTTATTCAATCATTGGAAAAAGTCTAATATCTGAAAATCTGTTTGAAAAGAGAGGATTGTCATTTATAAAATACTAGAAATTCAAGGCGCTTCGCGCCCTTCTTTCTAGCCTTAGAGGGCGCTTCGCGCCCATCTTCTAAATTAGTTGTGAACATGTTCTCTTTGTGTACACCGTAAAACAAAACAAAAATAATTCGCGGATTTTCACAAAATGTTTCGCGGATTTTCAAAATTTTTAAAAATTTAATGACGATCGAATTTTGATGGAGACAAATATTTGAAATTTTGATTTTTCATAAACCTTCCCTGGGGTCCCTAGATGTCCCACAAAAAATTTGGGCCCGATCGGTTCAGCCGTTTTGACGTTTATTGGATACAAACAGACAGACAGACAAACAAACAGACAGACAGACAAGCCAAATTTATATATAGATACAAAAGACAAAGCGGTGAAAGTGGAAAGAGTTTGCTTGTGAGTAGGTGCAGGGTTACCCATAAAAGTTGAGAGTTTGCAGAGATGACTGTACGGAATTTATACTTATCTGTTGCCTTACATTAATGATTCCTTGCAACTTTAAACTTGTTTCTTTTTGTGTTAAGATATATAATAAGCTTCAGGAAGAATATATTCTAGGCAAAATACTTATTTTAACGTTGGGATTGTTTTATTTTAAGAGTTTCAGGTCGTCTTTGCAGGCTAATCTTTTGTGGGTAACCCTGCATATAGTTGTATTCTCGTCTAACCGGCCATGCCAATTCTGCCAATACGGATAGAAGAACAAAAGTATTTTGTTGTTCATAATAACCTTTCGGAGTACATAGAGCCTAAGGATTCATTTAATAACTTCGTAGGTTTAAAATATTAAATTGTAAAAATTCTGATTTCGAGCATTTTCATGCCAGTTATTTTTCATTCAGATTCTAAATTCAGGAAACAAAATTCAACAAACACATGGGTATCTAAGTCATACTTGATCAGAAAAATCTTTTAATGGTAGCGCTGTGAATCGGAGATTCCATTTTTTATCTATAGTGAACCAATTAAATTAACGTTTACAGTCCCTTTAAGGTCCACTCTGCTCCATCGAACGTTTAAAAGATCGGACAGTTGCAGCAAACTTCTTAATTATTACCTCTGTACGAGTCCGACATGTTGTATTTATACACCCCTTTGGTGTTCATTGGTTTGTTTATATTTAATTTTTAAAAATTTAAAAATAAAATAGTTTTAAAAATATAAAAAGAATAAAGACATACCAAAAGTTAAAATTATTTTTTTGGGGCAATACAGTAAAGCCCATAAAACTGCGAAATATGAAGACAACTGTAGGACCCAAGTTTTCATCTTAAAAAGTTCGATGAAAGGTAACACATAAATTTGGCAGTTTACCTGATCAGTGGATTTTCAAACTGCAACGTCTGTACAACAATTTTTCTATGAAAATGCAGAACTGGGCGTGGGCATCCACCGTGATTTAGTCCCGGCTAGGAGGCCGGTCGAACAGGCAAGGTTTGAAAGCTAGGCTTGTACCTGGGACCTGCTAGTCCCAGCTAGTATTCAGGTAGACACACGCGCCGGTCAAACTCTAAAGTTGCTCATCCACACGGTATATTACACCCTTATCAATTGTGAACTTTGCAATATATTTCGCGCATTTTAAAGCTTGTCTTTTTTATCAGTTTCAAAATTGCATGTCTGGAAAAAACTGGTTTTGATTCAATGAATGAATGAATGCTTACGCCGCACATTTTATTAATGTTTTAGGACAGTTTCACAGTTTTGTGTTCAACCAAAAATTTGCGTGGGTCCGCCCTGCAGTTGGATTGGGAGCAGAGTCGGAGAAACATGTTTATAGGAAGGGTTAGTAATCCTAGATCATAGCCTATACTGGAGTAGGACGTATAGTGCTCTCCCGGTCTATATTCTAACCCGGAGAAAGGGTGATAATCAACATGTCGTTCTTTAAACGGAAAAAGGACACTGAACCCCAGTTCTATGCTACAGTGGCAGACGGATTAAAGAAAATATATCGTGGTAAGCTTCTCCCGTTAGAGGAAGCCTACGATTTCCACGATTTTGTATCTCCTGCTCTCAATGACCCGGATTTTGATGGGAAACCCATGGTTCTACTTGTCGGACAGTATTCAACCGGAAAGACGACATTTATCCGGTATCTATTGGAGCGGGATTACCCTGGGATAAGGATTGGACCTGAACCCACCACAGACTCCTTCACGGCAGTTATGTACGGAGAAAATGAGCAAGTTATCCCCGGGAACGCCCTTGCGGTGGATAAAAGTAAACAGTTCCGCCCTCTCACCAAGTTCGGTGGGTCGTTCCTCAATCGGTTCCAGTGTTCTATTCTCAAGAGCCCGGTGTTAAAGTGTGTCACCATGATCGACACTCCCGGTATCCTCTCCGGCGAAAAGCAGAGAACCGACCGCGGATATGATTTCGTCGGAGTGCTCCAATGGTTTGCAGAGAGGGTTGATAGAATCATTCTGCTCTTTGATGCAAACAAGCTCGATATCTCTGACGAGTTCAGGAGGTCAATCGAGGCCATCCATGGATACGAAGACAAGGTGAGGATCGTCCTAAACAAGGCGGACCAGGTGGACCACCAGGAGCTGATGCGTGTCTACGGGGCCCTCATGTGGTCTATCTCCAAGGTGATCCATGTCCCAGAGTGTCCCAAGGTTTTTGTCGGTTCATTCTGGGACCAACAGCTAAAGCATGACCTCTACCGGAGGCTGTTTGAAAAGGAACTTCAGAGTTTATTCGACGACCTCCAGGATCTTCCCAGATATGCGGCCATGAGGAAATTAAACGACTTTATCAAGCGCGCCAGGATGGCGAAGGTTCACGCTTACATCATCAGCTCCCTGAAGGAGGACATGCCAAAGATGTTCGGTAAGGGAAGGAAGAAGAAGGAGTTGATCAAGTCCTTGCCAACCTTGATGAAGAAGATCCAGGAGGAACACATGCTCGCCAGCTCGGATCTACCGGAAACTACAGGAATGCAAGACAAACTTGCTCAGGCGGATTTTGCCAAGTTTCCAACTTTAAAAGAGAAATTAATTGCACAGGGAAGTTTGCACATCTATTAAAGTTTAAAGTTTATTCCAACTTTTGCATTTTTGCAGAAATTAATGTGTAGATAAACTTTGTGAATTTTAAGAATAATCTTCATAAAAATATTTTTGGTGCACTTTAACCAGGTTAATCACATGCTGGACAAAGACATCTCAGAGCTGATGGGGATTGTTCCCAACGATTTTGCCGAGCCTGTGATCCGAGGAGGAGCCTTTGATGACGTCAAGGATGTAAATTCTCCTTTTGGATTCCAAAAATGTGAAGGTATGATTTGAACTAGTTATCCAAAGGTTGAAAATTATTTGAAACCTTTCAGAAATAAAGTTTTATGATTTTTATTTCTGCCCTAAAGCATTTCTCATTGATTGAAAAATAACTTTTTATTCATCCTAACTTTGATAGTAATCCTATCCTTCTATAAAGTTCCTAGCTATTCTTCTATCCATATAGTTTCTAGCTAGTAAACCTACCCTTTTATCCATATAGTTCCTAGCTAGTAAACCTATTCTTCTATCCATATAGTTCCTAGCTAGTAAACCTATCCTTCTATCCATATAATTCCTAGCTAGTAAACCTATTCTTCTATCCATATAGTTCCTAGCTCTAGTAAACCTATTCTTCTATCCATATAGTTCCTAGCTCTAGTAAACCTATTCTTCTATAGATATAGTTTCTAGCTCTAGTAAACCTATTCTTCTATCCATATAGTTCCTAGCTCTAGTAAACCTATTCTTCTATCCATATAGTTACTAGCTCTAATAAACCTATCCTTCTATCCATATAGTTCCTAGCTCTAGTAAACCTATTCTTCTATCCATATAGTTATTAGCTCTAATAAAACTATTCTTCTATTCATATAGTTCTTAGCTCTAGTAAGCCTATTCTTCTATCCATATAGTTCCTAGCTAGTAAACCTATCCTTCTGTCCATATAGTTCCTAGCTCTAGTAAAACTATCCTTCTATCCATATAGTTCCTAGCTCTATAAACCTATCCCTCTATCCATATAGTTCCTAGCTCTAGTAAACCTATCCCTCTATCCATATAGTTCCTAGCTCTATAAACCTATCCCTCTATCCATATAGTTCCTAGCTCTAGTAAACCTATCCCTCTATCCATATAGTTCATAGCTCTAGTAAACCTATCCCTCTATCCATATAGTTCCTAGCTCTAGTAAAACTATCCTTCTATCCATATAGTTCCTAGCTCTAGTAAACCTATTCTTCTATCCATATTGTTCCTAGCTAGTAAACCTATTCTTCTATCCATATAGTTCCTAGCTAGTAAACCTATCCTTTTATCCATATAGTTCCTAGCTAGTAAACCTATTCTTCTAACAATATAGTTCCTAGCTCTAGTAAACCTATCCTTCTATTCATATAGTTCCTAAACCTAGTAAACCTATCCTCCTGTATCCATTCTTCCTACCTGGAGTTTTATTGAAATTTAGATTACTGCAATCTCCCCCCCCCCTCCTCCTCCTCCTTTGAAGCTTTAAGATTGGGGAAATCTATGTTTGTCGACGGGGAATTTATTAGAAATCCACGGAACGTAAAAACGAAAAATCATTAAAATTGTCATTTCAAATTCATGAATAAACTGAATCTGCCCTGGTGTAAAATTATTTTCCAAGATTATGAAATTATTTTTCGCCAAAATTGTCGAACGCTTGTCAACTTCTGAGAACATTTAAAAATGCTAGAGACCGAAGAATGACAAAACATTACAAGTTTCAGAATTGCTCATATTTTCCCGTGAATTTATGTTTACAAAATATTACGGCCTAAATGGGGTTTCAGCACTCTAGCAGTTTCAATACTATTAAACACCTCGTCTTTTATTCATTAAGAACCATAGTTTGCAAGTATAAAAATATATTTCATTTTTATTAAATCGATTGAGTCTAATAATTTACACACATACCGAAGCCATTATTATTAGTGAATAGACAATTCCTTTTCATAATTTTCTAGGCCCCCAGTGTATACTACTTTAATCCTTGTCTAGGCCCCCTGTGTATCCTACTTTAATCCTTGTCTAGGCCCCATGTGTATACTTCTTTAATCCTTGTCTAGGCCCCCAGTGTATACTAATTTAATCCTTGTCTAGGCCCCAGTGTATACTACTTTAATCCTTGTCTAGGACCCCAGTGTATCCTACTTTAATCCTTGTCTAGGCCCCCTGTGTATACTACTTTAATCCACTATCTATATATCTATCTATCTAAATATCTATCTCTCCATTTATCTATCAATATATCCTATCTATCTACCCTATCTATGCATTTCCGGACCCGGAGTCGTAAACCTAGACCTATAATCAGGGTACTCAGGTGAACTAGGAGAACTGGGAGAAGCTTTCTAACAATTTAAATCCTTAAACTAGTTCCAGACCATTTCATTCTTCTTTCATCTTGTTTTTCATAATCTTATTCTTTTCTTCTTATTTCTACATAATTCATTTTCACTCGATTTTTGACTTGATTTTTCCCTTGATTTCTTATTTGATCGATTATCTAGGAATTGATCTTGGTTACGGAGAACCAGAATGGATTGTAACAAAGGAAAGATCAAAATGGGATTCTATCTTCAGCCAGCTTGGACCAATTAAGGTAAATATAAGACAGGAATCCTAACCTCAAGGTTTCGAAAACGGGAAAAGGGGAGAATGAATGATCATTCATGATTAGGAATAGATTTCTATTTAAATGAATGTCTTGTTATAATTTCAAGTGACCTCTTATAGAAAGGGGGTATGCCAAATTCACATCTGTACCACGTTATCTAATCAATAATGAGGAAAATAAGGTCATTTTTGAAACTCTCAGATTCAAACTATTTTCTCTTTATTTTCAAAGCTGAAACCCGCAAGTCTTATCAAAGAGAAACAGCATTGGAAATAATCAATTCTTAAAGAGAAAAGGTGGATATATCATGCAATTGTGATAAGGCAAAGCCTTTAGGGGCATTATTGGAACTGGACATGTCCCTCTGTCCCCTTATTATACACTTTATACTATATATTGTGTTTATTATAAGTTTATTTCAAAAAGTATATTCCAAATGTTTAATCATGGTTTAAATTACATAAGTTTCGTCTCAATTACTTGGAAAGTCTAAAATGCAACCATGTATTTCTGAGATATTATTTAATCTAATTGTTAGATTGGTGAAGTTTAATCAACATTAAAGGGTTTGTCGGCAAAACTTTTAACCCTTTATTTCTGCCTTTAAAGGGACTGTAAAGGAAAAATGAAGGGGTAAAGGCTGAAAGCTAATCACTTTAGCTCTCGATCGCGACCCATGAAAGTTATATCTGATGTTCCTATCTCGAGAAATTGATTTACAACTTTTTCAAATTTATACGAAAATTAATATATATACAATTTTGTATAAAAGTAGTGGGTTTAAAAAGATCAAATTCAGCAAATATGCAACCAATCTGAAAACGATGATATCCCAGAGAAAGCTAATTGTAACTTAGGTTTACTCCAATTCTAATTTTATATTTGTTATTTCTATTTTTTATAGATTTGATTCATAATATTATTTATACGTCCGTATTGCTTGACCAGAAATTCCACCAATTGCAGTGCAGTAAAGTGGTCACGTGATACAGGCGGAGACACGTGACCAGTATACTGCTCTGCCATTGGTGATAGTTCTGGTCACGTGATTTAAGTTTGAGATTTTCTAAATTTTACATATATGAACTTTCGTATAATTTAACACGGTTTTATATCAATTTCTCGAGACAGGAACATCAGATAAAACTTTCATGGGTCATGATCAAGAGCTAAAGTGATTAGCTTTCAGCCTATACCCCCTTTCATTTTTCCTTTACAGTCCCTTTAAATTATCATAAACTCTTCCTTTATGTTCTCAGCTGCATGAATACTCAAGCCACTCGTACTGATAAGCAGTTGAAGTTATCAATGTTCTGATAAAAATACAAGGATAATCATTTTATCTCAGATTTAAATGATTGTACTGTTGTTAAGCGAAAAGAGTTATCTTAAATCATGTCTACATTAAAAATAAAATTTTGAGATCGAGATTTAATATCTTTGTTGCAACAGCAAGGGTTAAGAAATAGGCTCATTTATATATATTTTATTGCAGATGTTGAAGTATATTAAGTGTATGATGAATAATATAAAGAAGTTTATTGAACAATAATTATAAACTTCTTTATTTTGTTTAATTATCTCTCTCGCAAAAAATTTATTTCTTGATTAAACTTTTCATTTTGATGAGATTCAGAAATGTGACTGCCGTAAAATAATCTACTAAATAAAAACAGTTGAATAAAAGTTCTTGCAGTCTTATAAGAAGATGAAAATGAACAATTGAAAAATAAAATCCATTATTTTTAATTCATCATTAAATGTGCCCGGGACCACAGCTCTTTTTTCTGAAATATAGCAACATCCTGAGATTATCTATCTATCTTAACCAACCTCACCTAGAAAAGCAAAATCATGGGTGGTTCAGCAGGACTAGAATGGGTTCCAGAAGCAATATGAGAGGACGGTGGCCAAATGTTATTTTTAAACAAAAATTTAATATGTTTGTCGAGGGTTGTTTACACCATTTGTCAACAATATGGTGGAGACCATGAAAGACTGAATTAAAGGATATCAAAAGATTTAAAACCCGTATTCCTCCAGTTCGCAGTACACAGTACACACAATCCTCCATATTGTTAGCAGTACACAGTACACACAATCCTCCTTTCATACTTTATACATCTTGTAAACTGAGATTCAGTCAAGAATTATTTATGTAGAAGATACAAAATCAGAATAAACAACATATTTTAGATCTAGTCAGTCCACTGCATTTTCACAACAACTAAAGCAATTGAGTCTTTACCACAAACTCTGATTTTCTAAATCCTATATCTTTGCAAACCGATGTCGTATACCTAAGATATTTTAAACAATGAATTCTACAAGATCAAACAATCTATAATTTGAAATATCAGAGGTTTTTAAGATCAGGTTGCAAAGATATAGGGATTAGAAAATCAGTTTATCAGGAAAATAACCGGTTCTGTTGATAAAGAAAAGTAATAGTTTTCTTCGCTCCGTCCGAAGGAAAAATATCCGGTTCTGTTTTTAGAGAAAAATATCCAGTTCTTGTTTTAGGGAAAAATAACTGGATCTGTTTATAGTAAAAAATAACCGGTTCTACTTTTAGAGAGAAAAAACACGGTTTTATTTTTAGAAAAAACAACCGGTTCTATTTATAGAAAAAAAAATAACTGATTCTATTTATAGGAGAATTGCCTGTCCTGTTTATAGAAAAAAATAACTAATTCTATTAAATCTATTTAAAGGAGAATAACAGGTTCTGGTTATAAGGAAAAAACCGGTTCTGTTTTTGGGAAGAAAAAATAACCGGTTCTGTATAATAGGAAAACTTAACTGATTCTATTTATAGGGGAAAATAACCGGTTCTGTTGCTAAGAAAGAAATGGTGAAATCTCGTCTTCCTAACCCAGTTTTAGCCAAGGTAAATATAAATAAGAGTGGGTTAAAAGGGTGGTCATTTTAAAGGATTTTAAACTTTATTTCAAGAGATCTGAGTCCGAATTTAATGAATTTAAGCCGCGGCTCAAATCCCCCAAAAACCGGTTTCAATTGAGCGCTGGCTTAAATCTTGAAACATTGAATACGATTTTAAGTGGAACCAACCATATTTGAGCCATAATTTCCCAATGTTATCTATTAAACAAAGATAAATGTTCACATATTGGGAAGACATGGTTTAGGATTTCATATTTGAATAAACACTGTTTCCAAATTTTTGATTGTTGTCCAACTTTTTCTCAATAATCGGATAATAAAAGGTCTACGCTATTATTTCTGTAATATGTTAACAAATGTATTTCTAAATTCTTGAATTTTTTAAAAACATTTTCGCTTCCAGAATGACTTTATAATACTTTGAATTTTTGTCTTATCTTAATCCAATCACTTATTCATATCTATAATCTTGTAATCTTGGAAACTGATTTAATTAGATGAAAAGATGCAGGATCAAACCAAATTACATGAACAAAATAACATGAAGATGATATTATTGACTTTTTTAAAAAGTATTTCTTTTTCCAAACAGAACATTTACATTACGTCAAATTAAAGAAATTTTACATTTAGATTGAAATATTTCATTTTATCCATCATAACCAGGGGGCGGAAACGTCATGTGTGTGAGTCTGTACCAAAAGAGTGTGTGTAAGGTATATCATATATATATAGGTGTGTACTGTAGGTTTATACAGTACGTAAGAATCTCGGTATTTGTGCAGTCTAGGAGAGTACATTTTTTTATTGTTAATTGTTTACTTAAAAATAAGTTTAATATGCAAGTAAAATATTATTTACATATTTAAGTCAACACTATAAATTTTCATGCAAAGAATATAATTTGATTAAAGTTTACAATAAACTACTCGTTATTTAAGTTTAATTATAATTGACGACATTGTTCTGCAATTACCTTGACTGTAGTCATGTTGTGTGTCTGTACCAAAAGAGTATGTGCAAGGTTTACCGAACTTGTATGCAAAGCAGTGAGACTGGCTTTCTCATGCCGGACCAGCGCCATTTCCTTTCCCTTTATACCTATTCCCTGATCATAAACCCTCTTTTTGAACACATATAAAAGATAAGATAAGAGAAGAATAAACAATTTTAGAAATTTGATTTGTTTTATCATGCCTCGTAAAATCAAAACTAGAGAAGCTACGAACTAACAAAGTCGTACAAAGTAATTTATAGTCCTTAGGCGAAAGCTGAGTTTTTGGGACAAACTCAAATCTTTGCAACCTGACGGTGTAAACCTTTGATATTTCAAACTTGGACTATTTCATTCAATAGGATTCATAATATCAGAAAATATAGGAATTAGAAAATATAAGAGTTTGAGAAAGAACTCATTTCCTTTGATCTTTTCCTTCTAGGTCTAGATTGGATAGTTATCAACAAAATTGAAAAAGAAAGCTGCACTTTTTTATGATCTTTAAAAAATGCATTATATTCCCCTAAACATACTGTTTCCCTCTCTTCTTCTGAACTATTTGTATTTTGTATCCCGGGTTTCTAGCGGATATTTATTTCTCCGATCTGATCCAACCCAGACCGATGTTAGGACGGGTTCGGATTCTCCGTGTACTAAATCTTGTATTGAAGAAAAGAGTGTAAACAAGCCTTGAGAGGTTCAAATTCTAGCTTTTAAACTAGACAATAGTTGTATAGTTTTCAATACATGGGGCCATTTAACGATCAGAGAACAGAAAACAGAGAACAGAGAACTAGGGAAATTTATTGTATTTTTGTTGTTAAAAAACGGAAAACAAAGAAAGGTTTATTTTTTAAAACATTTCTGCCCACGGTAAAAAAAACAAGGATGAAAAAGTACACTTTTAAATCTTTTATTATCTTGCTTAATTTCAAGTGACAAAGATGGCAATGCCTGATTCACAACGGTACCCTTGAAACCTTTATCTCACCATCAATTAACTGTTTTTAAGGTTTAAAAGTGTTCAAATCATATATTTTCCCACAGTAGAAATCCGCATTGCGCAAGTCACTTTTTCAGAGACCCTCCAATTAAAAATAATCAGTTTTTAAAATAATCAATATTGGTATCTTAGACAAAGATTTTAAGGGTGCCGTTGTGAATCGGGCATTGACATCTTTATATAAATGACCACTTAAGCTTACAGTCCCTTTAATAAACGTTTAAGGTTCTATCTCTTTAAAGTACATTAGAAACTAAAAGGTTTGTGCAATTTAGCAAGATTACTGCAAGAAAGTTGCAAATCTCTTGTTTAGTGTTAAAATACAAATACAACTGGCAATGAATAAATACTAGACCGCTGTATCCTAGATAAAATCAATACAAGTGGCAATGAATAAATACTAGACCGCTGTGTCCCAGATAAAATCAATACAAGGGGCAATGAATAAATACTAGACCGCTGTGTCCTCGATGAAATCAATACAAGTGGCAATGAATAAATACTAGACCGCTGTGTCCTAGATAAAATCAACATTATTATATTTGTGCAATCCTGCAACTTTGTGTTTTCAGATATTTTCTTACTTGAAACTAAATGTTTTTCAATTGTGTTTGTTCTATGAAAGTGACTTGTGGATTTTGAGACATTCCAAAAAATGTTCATAATTTAACATATTTTTAAGATAGGAAAACGTATTAAAATGGAAAAACGTTTTAAGATAAAACTTTTCAGGTATAAAAACGTATAAAGATAGAAAGACGTTATAATATAGAAAAAAAAGATTTAAGAAGAAAAAACGTTTCAATGTAAAAACGTTTCAATAAATTTAAGATAAAAACGTTTTGAAAAATAAAAACGTATAAGATAGAAATACATTTTAAGATAACATCCTTGAAACATTGAAACTTCGTTATTACAAACTAGCTGAGTTGAACGGCGTTGCTCGTGGAATTTTAAAATGTTAAAGAAAGATATGTATATAAGCAAAGAGTGTTATATTTTATAGATATTTTTATATAAACTTCTAAGTAATGAAAGCAAATAAATAAAATTGAATGTTGAAAAGAACTTCTAAGATTTATTTTCTTATGTCATTTTTCTATTTCAAACCCCGCGTAAACAAATCAAACTGCAGTAATCATTAAAATATAAATAAATAAACTGCATATAGTACATACATATATAATAACAAAAAGTCTCATACCATGACCCCGTCTGAAAAAGTACAAATTTATTTTGGAATTTAAAAAGTATTCCATAGTATGAGATATTAATGAAATACAGATGATTTTACAGATTAATTTTACAAATATTCAAAAATATTTTAATTGTTTCAACTGGTTTGCCGGGGATTTTTCTACGGTTTATAGTTTGTCAGTAATAACTTTTCAATATTTGTTGGATTTGAAATGATTAAGAAAATTATTAAACCTATTATTAATTTAATTACATGATTTTAAAATTATGTAATTTTGTATTCTTTTGAAGTAATTTACGGGTGAATCTGTATTCTTGTATTCTCCATGGTTTAAATATAATGATAATTCTGTAATTTTGAATACTCCATGATATACTGATAATTCTGTAATCTTGTATTCTCCATTGTTTAATATAATGGTAAATCTGCAATCTTGTAACTCTATAATCTTGTATTCTTCATGGTTTAATATAATATTTTGTAATCTTGTATGCTCCATGTTTGATATAATGGTAACTCTATAATCTTGTATTCTCCATGGTTTAATATATAATAATAATTCTGTAATCTTGTATGCTCCATGGTTTAATATACTGGTAACTTTGTAATCTTGTATTCTCCATGATTTAATATAACTGACACAACACTATAAACCGAATATTGAAGAACCCTTGAATATATTGTAGAACTGCATTTTCTTCCTTCTCTTTCAATCCTTTAATTCACTGCTCTAGTATATATATATATAGCAGATATTCAATCCTTTAATTCACTGCTCTAGTATATATAGCAGATATTCAATCCTTTAATTCTATAGCAGATATTCAATCCTTAAATTTACTGCTCTTACATATATAGCAGATATTCAATCCTTTAATTCACTGCTCTGTTATATATAGCAGATATTCAATCCTTTAATTTACTGCTCTAATATATATAGCAGATATTCAATCCTTTAATTCACTGCTCTATAGTACATATAGCAGATATTTAATCCTTTTATTCATTGCTCTATAGTATATATAGCAGATATTCAATCCTTTTATTCATTGCTCTATAGTATATATAGCAGATATTCAATCCTTTAATTCACTGCTCTAGTATATATATATATAGCAGATATTCAATCCTTTAATTCACTGCTCTAGTATATATAGCAGATATTCAATCCTTTAATTTGCTGCTCTAATATATATAGCAGATATTCAATCCTTTAATTCACTGCTCTATAGTATATATAGCAGATATTCAATCCTTTAATTCACTGCTCTAATATATATAGCAGTATTCAATCCTTTAATTCACTGCTATATAATATATATAGCAGATATTCAATCCTTTAATTCACTGCTCTAATATATACATATAGCAGATATTCAATCCTTAATTCACTGCTCTAGTATATATAGCAGATATTCAATCCTTTAATTCACTGCTCTAGTATATAAAGCAGATATTTAATATTTTAATTCACTGCTTTAATATATATATATATAGCAGATATTCAATCCTTTAATTCACTGCTCTAATATATATAGCAGATATTCAATCCTTTTATTCATTGCTCTAGTATATATAGCAGATATTCAATCCTTTAATTCACTGCTCTAGTATATATAGCAGATATTAAATCCTTTTATTCATTGCTCTAGTATATATAGCAGATATTCAATCCTTTAATTTACTGCTCTAATATATATATAAAGCAGATATTAAATCCTTTTATTTATTGCTCTAGTATGCATATTCAATCCTTTCCTTAAAGAGAGGAGTTGTGATATCCATTCCTTAAAGAGAGGAGTTGTGATATCCATTCCTGTAAGAGAGGAGTTGTGATATCTGTTCATAATAAGGAGGAGGTGCTGGGGGAGGGGGTATCACAGTTTCAGTTCCTTAAAAGAAGCTCGCTAGAATTCTAGACCTAATTTTTAACACAAACTGTTCGTTAAATTGAAAAGCTGTCGATAGTTTTTTTCTGCGTAATTATCTTATCAAAAATACTTGGCTTAATATTTTGTGTGCGAGAGCTAAAGCACACTGAATTTCTAAGGTTGTTATATTGTGGAATTTTTCGGGAATTTCTCTAAATTTCCGTATTGTAAATTCAACATTCTTAGATTCTTAAAAATCAGTTTCTTTTTGCTTTCCGTTTTAGAGGAAATAAGTTTGTGCCCTATTTTAATTAATAAAAAAATGTACATTTTTTTAAACACCGACCAGTTTTTAGACCGTCCCCCAACCTACCCATATGCTTGAAAATAAATTTACAAAATTTGTTTAGAAATAAAGTTAAAAGTAAAGAATTTTCAACATTCTAGTGTAAGCCATTTTTAGGTTAACAAGAAAAAACACAAGGGGGGGAATACCCCCGATCATGAAAGGGTTAAAAGAATTGAGTCGTTGCCACATAATCTGATGTATCTTGCAACCCAAAGTCGTAGACCTTAGATATTTCAAGTTATGAATTATGTTAGATCAAATAATTTAAGTTTGAAATATCAAAGGTTTACGCTATTATCAGGTTGCTAAGTTAAAGATTAACAAATTTGAGTTGGAAAAACTTAATTTAGATTAATTTAATTCATTGGTTTTTAAATATAATAATATGTTCTTTTTAACGCTTACAATTCTATTTATTTTTTTGCCTTGAATTTAGTGTTGGATCTCTTCTTAATCAGGAAATACAAACAGTTTGTTGAAATCTGATCTAAACTCATTATTCTTTGTAAAATGTATAAATATATATTATCTAAGTGTTTTGAAGATTGTAGACAGCAACCCGAGTTAAAAATATGAAAACCCTGAAGTGTAGATAAAATGATGATAAAAACTATATCTATACACATGAAGTATATATCTATATTTATTTAATAAAGCTCTTCGTTATAAATATATATGTTAGATATATAGCTGGCCAAACGGCCGAACCAAAGCGCCAGGATGAAAATCTCTGTGAATTTAAAACTTGAATGATATTTGGTACATTTTTTCTTGGTTTAAAGGGAGTGTTCGCTACAAATTAAAAGGGTTAGAGGTAAAATAATAATTAAATTTTAGGTCTCCTTTGGCTAGCATAGGATAGCATGCAGAGAAAACAAATATTCGGAAATCGGAACATGCATGGAGAATAAAAAAAAATTTAGTTAGAAATTAAAATCTATTGATCGCCCTTTGTTTGACTATAATGACTGTTCTGCACTTTATACATAATTTGAACTATTTCCTGATATTTCGAGAATAAATACAACATTTCACATATTGGAAAATGTTAAGAGTGTTTAGATTGGAGATCAAATACAATTGAGTTCAAATGGATTAAACTGTGAGAAATACTTCAATAAACAAACAGTCCTAAACATGGAACTATAAAATGGATTTGACCAATCTCAGATCGGAGGTTGGAGTTTTTGTGTCGAGTATCATTGATCTTGAACGCTTGATGTCGATATCCTATGTAAACACTTTCAAATTTGAGGATTAATGCGTGTTATCTCAATTACAGTTCTCTAATCATGGCATGCCAACTACGGGATATACCTGCAGGGTATGCCCATCACGGGATATCAAAGAGGAATGAAATTAATCCGTAGATCTGCATAACATTAATTTCACTAGAAGGGTATCATTCATTTGGCCCATACAGTCATGTTTGGCCTCATATAGTCTGTATTTGTACTGTACTGCTTGCTCTAGCAAGTTGAAATTCGGTCCGATACATGGAATGAACTGGAATGTACAGTGGTATGATCCCGAGATCCACAACACTTACGGTAATTTATTCCCTGCGAGAAGAGAATTAACTTAACTATAGTCAATGTTACAGTTCCCAACTTAACTATAGTCAATATTATAGTTCCCAACTTGACCGCAACTATAGGTTTTAGGTTGGGTTTTAACTCATTTTGACGTTAAATTCGATACAGTACATATATTTATATTGTTAAAATTCGGTACAGTACATATATTTATATTGTTAAATTCGGTACAGTACATATATTTATATTGTTAAATTCGGTACAGTACATATATTTATATTGTTAAATTCGATACAGTACATATATTTATATTGTTAAAATTCGGTATAGTACATATATTTATATTGGAAACATTTGGTACATATACCGGAGGCCATGCCGGTACATAAAAGGGAGTACGGTACAATTTCAACTTATCCGAGATTGAAAGTTTAGTTTTTAATCTTTGAAACCTCATAGGTCATCTATTCATTTAATTTTACGTACAAATATTAGAAAATCATATATTCGAAACATTTTGCAAATAACTTAAGATAAAGATATTTAAGATTGTATTCTAGCGTGAAAAATTACTTAAATTTGACGTGTAGAATTGAAAATATCTAGGTGTGGAGATTAGCAGATGTGGACGGGGACGGATTGTTGGACGCCGACGAATTTGCTCTTTCCATGCATCTCATTAATATTAAAGTATTTTTTACATTTTTAACCTTACAAGTTTATCCTTTTTACCTCTTCCATTTGGTAATGCTGGAAAAAATACACAACATTGCTTGGAAAACATGTGGTTTGGTTTGCATTCATTTTTTCTTCATGTATTAATGTCTCTGGTAGAAAAACTGTCACGGGTAATATTTCTTCGGGGTTAGATCTAAAAATAAAGTGGATGGCGGGGCGCAGTAGGATGACAAATGGCGGTGGTTCGGGAAGTGATAACGACTCATACTGACATAAGGGACTTGGATCTGGTACTCAGAGCTCACATAGGTCACCAGAGATAATTCTGCCGAACCTTTTTTTTTTATCTATTTTGCGTCCCTTGGGTCCGGTCTTGGGTCAAAATAAATTCTAACTCCATTTAAACCCAAATTTAATCTAACTAGTGGAAGTTGGGAAAGGATTCTGACAAACTTGTGATAAATTATTTTGTTTTATTTTAGTTTGTGATTTTACATTTTATTCAACCATCTTTTAAATTTTCATCTTTAGAGTCATTAAATATAGAAGTTATTTCTAAAGTTCAAAATATACTTTATATATATTATAAAAACATTTTTTCCTTGCAAGAAATGTTTCCATAGATTTCCTCTTAACATTTTAAAACATTCCCGCCATCTTGAATATTTCCTGGCCATCTTGATTATATTACCGCCATTTCATAGATCCCCGCCATCTTGAAAATATGTTTATTACCCAACTACCTTTAACATATCCCTAATAGTTTCACCACTTTGATTTATTTATGTTTATTGTATCTACAAGAAGAAAAGAAAAGTTTGTATGATTAATTCCTATTTTTATCTCTGGTGTGAACAGGAGAAATAAATCTAATGGAGAACGGATAACCTTGAACTTCCGTAGTTCCCAAGGTCCGATACAGGTGGAGAACAGGCGCTCCGATACCATCAGAGACGACTCCGCTAAACTTCCAAATCTCCCTAAATCTGAACCCTCTCAGCGAAAACAAAAATCCAAAATCACCCAGGAAAACAATTCCCATAAATCATCGAAATCCGGGAAGAAAAAAGAAAAACCCGGAAGTAATTCCAATGGGAATAGTTCTAAGTATTCCCATCTTCCAGTTTATGACAAGGAGGAAGAACGAATAAAAGCAAAGGAGCGGGAACAGAAAATCTCTGAAATATTCTCCGGTGAGCATAATTTAATTTCTTCACTTTTGGGGGATTTTTAATTTCTGCTTTCAGCAAATTAATTATTTAATTAAATATCCAAAGTTTCTGCAAGTTTGAATATTTTCCTGGGAATTAATGTCTTGTTGATTCAGCTGAACTCGGCTCACAAACCGGAACATTTAAACCTTTAATCACGAGTTTTCAACTCAAAATACATTCTTTATCATTTCTATAATCTGCCCAGACTTTTCTCCTCAAAAAGGGACTGCTTTCTAATTAAAACATTGATAGCAAACAAAAACTACAATACTACTACAAAAACTACAATACTACTACAAACACTACAATACTACTACAAAAGTAAGCGTCAAAATTTTTTTTAGAATTATGTCTATATCTATGTTTAAAATGACATTTGATATTTTCATTAGTTAAAATCATTAAGTTTTTGTAACAATCTCTGATTTTCTATCCCTATAACTTTGCAACCTTATGTCGTAGACCTTTGATATTTCAAACTATAAATTCTTTTAGATCAAATAGTTTATGTTTTAAATATCATAGGTTTACACCATCAGGTGGCAAAGACATAGAGATTAGAAAATTTAAATTTGTGGTAAAAATTCTGTTGAATGGTCCGATATGCTTTCCATGAACTGTCCCTTGTATCAATAGTTTTATCAGAAATTATCTTCTTGCAAGATTTGCTTCATTTATAATCCAATCATTTTCTATAAAGAAAATATAAAATTCAATTAATCAACGGTTTATCCCAGTAAACATTTAGATACTCTTTTCCTTCGCTTAAACATTATATTATTATTATTATTATCATTATTATTATTATTATTATTATTATTATTATTATTATTTAAAATATCTATTATTATGTTTGAATAGATATGAATGGTAAACTGGAAGATATTACTGGTTTAACAAGTTCTCATATGGAGAAGAGAGGAGTAAAATTAATCCAATCCGCTCCCACTCCTTTCGATGACCCTGAGTCAAACCTTCCTTCCTCCTCCAATATTGGAACCAACCTGAAGAAAAATATTCCTCCTGAACCCCAGGATTTACACACCATTAGGTAATTATTGATATAATTTCAAGATATTTTTGATTGATTAGTTCAACAAGAAACTTTTAAACTTATTCTGAAATTCCTTGACAGATAATTTGAACCTAGTTTTTTACTTTTATTTTTATCACAGTTAAATAAATGTTTGTGTTTTTGCCCCGCAACCCTGCAGAGATAGGTTTGTGTACGTTTTATCTTTAACGTGTTTGCCCAATAAAGTTGCGACCTTTGTTTATTATTTTTTATATATCTATATCAGTTTAATTGTCACAATCAAATATGTTAACAAACCTTATCCCCCTACCTTTATTATACACACCTTGGTTTGAAAACATATCCCCCTTCCTTCAGTATACACACCTTGGTTTGCAAACATTAAATTTTTCCGTCTCCAAATTAATCTTGGAAAATGTATTTCTAAATCTCTTGGTAAAATATTTAATCTCTCATCTGTTTGATGTTTCAAATGTTTATACAGAATGTTTATGAGTTCGTTTAAGGTTTAGAAACATAATTAAATTATATAGAGCTGAAGAATAGAAATAGTTAGATGTAAACAAAGTATTTTAAAAAAAAGACCGAAAAAACGCATTTGTATACAGACTTAGAATGGAAAACATTCTTTACAGGGTTTCGATTCTTATAACTTTGCGACTTTAAGATTATTTTTAATGTCTTATCTTATTTTTTTAAGTTCTGGCAAACAAAATTAAAAATAAACACATTTGGATTTAAGAAAAGAAAAAAAGAAAAATTAACAAGATCAGATGTCGTCTTCCTATTTGACTCCCTCTAAATCCTCAATGTTTCTAGGTTTATTATATTTACTCATCGCCCCGTTATAGTGTTTTACATCTTTCATCTCCTAGTTTTATTCCTAGCCAACATTTATTTATAAAACTATCAAACTTTTCTCAATATTTTAATTTGTTATCTTTATCAAGGTGTAAAATTAAACTTATCTTTATAATAGGATAAATCATTATGGTTTTTATGGAGGAAAAAATAAAGTCGCACAACTAGGGGGGGGGGGGGGTAAGGTGGCCAGGCCCCCCTAGCCTGATTAAGGGGGGCATTGCCCCCTATGAAGTCCTTAACAGGGGTCCATATAGTTCCAAATATAACTCATTTTCTCGAAAATTTGTAGAAAAAAATTAGGCCCCCACAGTCATTTTTTGACCTACAATCATTTATGCCCCTAACTCTTAAAGCAAACTCAAATTCCACTGAATCATTTTCCAATATAAGCTTAGATCAGATTCTTTTTATTTTTGCCCCTTTCTTAAAAAAATGCCCCCAAATTGGATTTTTAGAATATACTCACACATTCGTATGCCCCACCAGACTTAAATTTGCCCCCTTTTTTTGAGAATGCCACCAAATATTTATAACTTGCCCCTAAATTTAATTTATTTTTATCCCCAAATGTTTTATAAATACACCCAACTTAAAGGTAATTACTCCAAAATTAAGAAGTTTTGCGCCAAACAAGAAAAATAACCCTTTGATTAAAAAAGCCCCTTCATATGCTTTAAAAATGCCCTTAAATAAAACATTTGTCCTCAAAATAAATATTTAAGATTTCCCATACACATATTTTCCCAAACTGAAAAAATCCCTCTAAAACATAGATTTAAGTTTCCCCTAACTGAAAACTGCCTCCAAAATAAAATTTGGCCATGAAATATAGATTCACCCAAAACTGAAAAGAATGCCCCCAAATATAGAAATTTACGCCCAAATATCCTGAATTGGTGAGGTAGTTTTTTCATGGTTAAGTATAATACACATTTTTCTTGCCCCTCACTAGAAATGTTTAGGGACGAAATTTTTTTCTTCAGTCAGTGTAACATTCACAGGACATTAAAAAACAAAATATGCAAAATAATGCGTTTTTTGAAATTTTAATGCAATGCAAGAGCTAAGCTTTGTAGGGTTTATTTTTGTTCGTGTTTTTTACGTGAAAAATAGTTTAAACGTTGTTTATTAGGAACAGACTAATGAAAACTAGTGTTGTTATAAACATCTTTACTGTACCAGCTTAAAAGAGTTAAAAATGTGTCTGTGTCTCTGAAGCAAAGATAAATCATTTCCATTTTTTTCTTCGGTTTCTTTCTCAAATATCTTCAAACTAAAGAATATATATATATGTTTTTTTTCAAACAATTAGTGTTTATCTATAGTGAGTAATAAATAGGCGTTTTTCCTAAAAATCGGAAAAGTTCAGCTTAACTAACGAAATAATGCACTTTAAGCTTATAGACCTTGAGCAAAACGATTGAACAGCTAAAATTGTTACTAAAATAGGTGTAAAAAGCGCCCTGGAAGCCTAAAGGCACAAAAATTGTGTACTTTTTAAGATACATACCATGAAGAATTTCTATTTTGAACATAATTTTTATTTGAATAAAGCCAACTATGACACTTAAAACATTTGAATTTAATTTTCACGCAGACAATCACTTATAATTACAGCATTTTTCTAAGTACATATTTGAAGTTGAGAAATGCAGTAACTTATCCTTTTGCATTTTTGTTTAATTTTATGAATTTATTTTTAAGTCAAAATAAAAAGTAAAAAGAGTTTTCTTTTGACTTCCATGTTTAACTCCTTCATTTAAATTTTTAAGAGCTTCCGTACCTCACCCAAAGAGTCTTCCAGGAAGGATCTTCCTGTTATATATAATTGTCAATTTCTACGGGACTAATTTGTAGATTATTTAAGCACGGTAGTCGATCTATAATATCCTTAATATTTGCATGATATATTTTTTTACAATCAAAGTTTGGGCTGTAAAAACTTTAACTTTGTAGAGTTTGTTTGAAATTGTATTATTTATAGAAGTTAATTTGCCTGCAAAATAATGCATTAAATAATGAGAAAAGGCAATTTCAGCGATGCTCAAATTAAAGAAAATGTAATTATCATTTGATTTATATGTATTTCAAATGTATTTCAAATCTGTAGCACTTGCAAAAATTAGGCGGCATATAGTTTTCAAATCATTAGGCTATAACAGCTATTTTTTTTAAATATCTGAACAACTACAGAAAGAAAATTAACAAACAGATATGTTTTTTAGAAACAACATTTTATGAAGAAAACTTTTTTATATGTCTACTTATTACAAAAAGATATTCATAAAAAAAGCGCCAGCCAGTGGCGTAAATAAGGGGGGTTATTGGGGTTACTTACCCCCCCCCCCCCTAGAATCATTGGAGTAATTACCCCCCTCTGAATCTTAGGGGTAAATACCCCCCTAGAATCTTTGGGACACAGATTATGAAAGTTGAAAATAATTATATTTCATGATACTAGTAAAAGATTTTAAATAGATATATCTTTAATCGATCCTTCAAAATTCAAAAATGTATTTTTAAAACCAATTGTAGAGTTGAGATCGAATTGACTTGTGTAGCAAACTTTAGAAATGTCGTCCTACACCCGAAAAACTTAAAAATAAAATACATAATAATTTGTTTACTGTATGATTTTAGGTACAATAAAGGGGTTCTCCTACCCCGTAGCGCTGAGGACCAGACCCAAGTAGAAATAGACAAACACACAACCACAGACAAACAATCGACCCTCATTCAAGATGTAGAAGAAAGTTTCATCAGTGAACATACAACAACAACTATAACATCAAATACATATAGGGAAATGGAATTTCTATTGTTGATTAATCTTAAGATTTGGTTGGGAAACATTTGCAAAAAAAGAAGAAAAATGGCCGACTCCTTAAGTCACTGGTTGAAAAGGAACTGATAACTCACCACAAATTCTAATTTTCTAGTTGCGATATCTTAGGCTCGACTTACGGAGATAGAAATGAAAATAAAACCGACCTTGGTTGGTTTTAGTGGAAAATAATGCTCGATGTTGAGTCTTGTTCTCATCAAAACTCGGAATGCGCCAATTCCAACCATGAAAATACGTCAAATACATTATTAAACCGGTTTTATAAATTCAATTCTGTGCAAAATTAGATGCAACTAAAACCCGAAAGCATAAGCTGTAAATAAGGCCCAACGACCGCTTTGACCTGAGTCTTTTCCTGAATCTTTTAAATCGCTGGCCCGCTGTCGTAGCACTTTGCTATTTCAAACATTCAAATTATAATTTTGTTCAGATCAAATAGTGTTAGTTTAAAATTTCAAAGGTTTACACCATCAGGTTGCAGCGAAGATATAACAATAAGGAAATTAGAGTTAGCAACAAGTCTTAAGTTTATTTGCTGAAAAAATTTCTACAATCAATTATAGCCCTCCATAAGTTCCCAACGTTTTTTTAAAAAGCGCAAAGTGCAAGAAAATGGTCAAATTTTATATATTTTTAAATAGAAAAACAGCATCTTTAGTTTGCCAATAATCAAAAATGTAAAATATTGAGTACACATTCTTAATTGGATCGTTTCTTATAAAATTTTTTGTTGTTAAATATCCAAAAATTAGAAATCATCTCTGAACTCAGGCTAGAGCAGGTTGAACCTGATCCGAACACTGAGTACGCTTTAGTACAGAAGAAACCGTCCTTGTCCTCTCCGAACCCTGAGAGCAAGGATGAGGAAAATGACGAAGATCTCACATATAAGAAATTAGGACGAAAACTTCAGATTCTAACTGAAAAGGTGATATATTTTGAATTGCATCATTATTTAACATTTAAAAATTGACAGGGCTACCCACTAAGGATGAGACTTCAGAGACGATTGTGCGGAATTTATGTTTCCTAACATTCACGGTTTTCTGCAACTGTAAACCTTTTTCTTCCTTTGACAAATCATTAAATAAGCCGTCGAATTCATATTTAAGACTTAATTTAAACTTACAATTGTCCTATTATATGAGTTTCAGGTCGTCTTTATTGTCTCAACCTTTGTGGATAACCCTGTAGGAAACCGCTGTGAATGAAAAGCTATATCCTTCTAGTTATCTAAAATGTTGTTTAAAGGGACTGTCGGCGTAATTTCAAGTGACCCTTCCATTAAAGGGGCGCATGCCCGATTTATTACAAGTACTTTGTAAAAACGACGATATTTTCTTTATCATTGCTCACACATAGATTTAAAGGGTATCGTTGTGACCATGCAACTCAGTAAATGGGAGGCCACTTTAAATAACGTGGACAGTCACTTTATTTTATTTTTTTTTTCAAGATGGAGTCTGCAGCTAGAGATTTGAACGATAGACCAGATATTCCGTTTATTGATTCTGAAGATACAGAAACTAGATTAGGTAAACTATATATTTTTTAAAAGTGAAATTTTCTGACAAATTTTTTTCAAGACAGCTAACAAACTTACTTAATTTTTATTTTTATTGATCAATAAGCTTTAGCTTAATGATTTATTTACATTCCAACGAGTAATAAACAAGAGCACATAGTACTGGACATTTTTTGTTTCTAAATATATGAGTATTGAACGTAATAAAACAAAATTATTGATGTATTTCACATTATACTTTTATTACATAAAATTTTGCAAAATACAACTTGGAGGTTTTTAAAAAACGCTGGGAGAGATAAAAATATATTTTTTGTTTAAAGGTGCTCAGCTGGATTTGAACCTGGAGTCCCTGCTGAGTGAGAACCTGGATCTCGGGATGAAGGTTGAGAAAATTCAACTTGAAACCTCAGAAAGAGGTCATTCATCAGCCTCCATAGTCGTAGCTCACAGGTGAGGAGGCCAGTGAGACCGAGGTTTGGAGGTTAGAATTATGATCCCAGCCTTAAATGGAACAGTGACATGATTTAAAGCGACCCTCCATTTAAAAAGTTACACGCATGATTCACCCGGCGCTTTCTCAATTAAACTAATTTGCGGAATTTATGCAACAGCTACAAAGATGGAAAGAAACTGATTGTTTGACTTAAACTCTAATTTTTTATTATTATTTCACTTGTGGACTATTTAAACTTTAAGAACTTAAAATATCAAAGATCTACGACATAAGACTGGAAATGTCTAAGGTTTATAAAATTAGAGTTTGAGGTAAAGGTTGGCTAATAAGAGTAGTAAGAGAGTTAAAATCTGGAGAGTGAAATGTCAGAGTTTTAAAGGTTGAGAGTTTGATCAGGAGAGTTAAATGTTATCATAAGTTAATAAGTTTAGGATTGATGGCTGGAGACTTAACAAAAAAAAAGAAAAATATGATTATTGGACTCAAACTCAATTTTTTGATAATATTTCACATTTTGATTAATTGATTTAGAAAAATTCATAGTTTGAAAGGTCTACTATAACATCAGATTGCAAATATTTTTTCTAACAAATTATTATTTTTGAATTTTCTTATTATTTGGATACAGTTGATAGCTGATACAGAAAAATTTTGATTTGATTCTCCTTCTTTTCATCAATTCTCTTCTTCTGATTTTTTTTCCTTCTGTTGACTGACCCTGATTCTGATAATTTTGAAAGAAAGAAAAACATTTGTCGAAACCATTATTTATTGGGACACTCTGCTCAATTGTAGTTGAAGTTTTCAGTTTTATTGCCTATCAATAAATTCGTGGTTTTTTTATTAGGTTATAAATATTTCTTATTTCAATTTTACAAGCGCGCTTTTGAAGATTTTTTAAAAAGTTTATTATTGTTAGAAAAATGTAAGAAAATCTGTAAAGTCCTTGGTAATAACGCGAAACTAAAATTTTCTGAAAGGAAACTTAATAATGTTTATTTTTGTAATATTTTTTTAATTTGACTTAATGTAGGAGAAAAAAAGTTGATAAAAGAAAAATATCTTTATAATTAATACATTGATAATTATTTAGGAAATGTCGAGGGACAGATACAGTTCATATGAGCACAAAGACACTGCAGAGAGAATACAGTGACATCTAGCGGCAATCAAATGTTTTGATAAATTTTCATTCTTTCTTTATACTATACCCGGTCAGTGCTATTGTTTATTCGAGTAAAGTTAGAGGACAACCTAATCCAGCCAGTGTGTGACAAAATTAATAAAAATATGTAAAATAAAACAGCTTTGTAATAAAATTCGTAAAATAAAAAACGGAAATGAGTTTGCCACAAACTCTGATTTTCTGATATTTCAAACTATTAATTCTGTTAGATCAAATAGTCTAAGTTTGAAATATCAAAGGTTTACACCATCAGGTTGCAAAGCTATAGGAGTTAGAAAATGTAAGTTTGTTAAAAACTCAACTTCTTTAATAGTTTTCAATTTAAAATCAGACGTAACCCTTCTTATGCCAATAAATTATTGTTTAAAGTTAATCTTACAATTTAGAGATAAGAAAGAATGGTAATTGCCATTTTTGTATAAATGAGAAAAAAGGAATAGCTGGAAATTGAAAATGAATAGCTGGAAAATGAAAATTAATAGCTGGAAAATAAAAATGAATAGCTGGAAAATGAAAATGAATAGCTGGAAAAGAAAATGAATGGCTGGAAAATGAAAATGAAAGGATGGAAAATGAAAATGAATAGCTGGAAAATGAAAATGAATATACAGAAAATGAAAATGAATAGCTGGAAAATGAAAATGAATAGATGGAAAAATATAAGTTTAATGAGGACAAATCATGAGACAAAAACGGAGGAGTGAAATGGACTTTAAAAATGAAGGAACGCTATGACTGATATATGATAGGATTAATATGAAATTAAACAAGAACAGATTTAGAGGAAAGAACAAGAAACTTAACTAGGACGGACTGAGAGATAGAAGGAGAAACTAAACTAGGACGGATTGAGAGGATATAAGGAGAAACTAAGTGAAAACAGATTGATAGAGGATAAAAAGAGAACAAAGAAGAATCTAAACCAGGACAGATTGAGCGGAAAAAAACTAAACTAGAACGGATTGAGAGGATAGATTTGTTTTAATATTTTCCCCGTCAGTAAAAGATGGTCAATCGTTTTTCTAGTGCCCGCTAGTCCAAGATATGCAAGAAGTCAAATGTTCTGAATTTACAATTCAATTATTATTTATTTCTGTATACGCCCTTGCATAAAAAGTGAACCATATCAAAAGAATTAATTTCTAGTTGGAATGTATTGTACAGGGTGCCCCAATAAACATGGGAATTTAGAGACACCTTGAAAGTCGTCTTTGATTTCTGATATTTGATGCATATGGCAACAAAAGTATAAAACGAAACTTTACGTCTTCGTGTCGTAAGAAATTGACGAAGATATTAAGACCATTTTGATTTATTATAAAAATTGAGATTTGTACAAATTTTGCAATATCTCCGTGAATTTTAAAAACACAAAAAGGTAAAGTACGTCATTTGGTTATATTTAAAAAAAAACTGAATTTGATTATTTCAACCCTAATATCATTGCAAGTAGAAATGTTATAGCCTAACCAAAATTGCTTCTTACTAAATGATAAAATTATCAAGTTATTACGATGTTCAACTATTGGATGCCAAATCCAGGGTGTCTATATGGGCATCTGGGTATATGCAGATGATATTATCCTGCTTTCTCCTAGCAGAACAGGTCTTCAGGAAATGGTGAAAATTTGTGAAATTTTTGCCAAAGCTACTAAGCTGAAATTTAGTACAAATATTCGAATCGAAAAATGTAAAACTAAATGCCTTATTTTTTCTAAAGAAAGGATTAATTATAATGAAATAACCCCAATTTTATTGAATGAATTACCTTTACCATTTGTTAACGACTTAAAACATTTAGGAAATGTTCTTCAAAGTGATAATTCAATGACCATAGATTGCAATAAAAAACGAGCTATTTTCATTTCAAAAATTCATTCTCTTAACCAAGAATTTTATTTTAACAGTCCTGATGTCATTTTGAAACTGTATAATATTTACTGTTGTAGTTTTTATGGATCTAGTATTTGGGACTTGAGTTCCCAATGTGTTTCAAAATTGTATACAGCATGGAATACTGCTATTAGAATTCTTTTTAATGTACCTAGAGATACGCATAGGTACTTGATTGAAAGTATTTCACAATGTTTACATGTAAAAACTATGTTAGCTAGCAGATGTGTGTCTTTCTATGAGACTATTGAAGCAAGTTCTAAGCTTTGCATTAGATTTCTTTCTAATTTATGTAAAAATGACCTCAACACAGTTCTTGGCAGAAATTTATTTTGTATTGCAAATGATTGTTCTGTAAATCCTTCCAATCTTAGTAAAATGTTAGTTAAGAAACAAATAAAATATTT